ACAATCTCAATCTCTTCACCATCCATCCTGATGCTGCCAATTGGTTCAGTGGTGAGAATCTTTGTCTTCTTGACATTGAGCCTCAATCCATATTGTAGGATAAGTTAAATTCAACTTGCATTCTATTAACTGTTACATTTCTGTAAACATAGTTATGTCAAAATAAAGCTTAAAAAAAGAAAAAAAAGACTTGCTACCATCTTGAAATACAGACTACAATGTTATAAAACTAGAACTCAACAACAAGAAGATAAAGGAGAAAACATCATGCACTCAGAAGCTCAATACCACTCTACTTGATCATAATTGGGTAGTAGAAGAAATGAAAAATGAAATTAAGAAGTTTCTTGAAACAAATGAGTATGAAAATACAATATCTTTTTTTTTTTTACGTGTACCGTCAAATCAGGTCTGACTGGTACAGGAGGAGATTGTCCCTCCTTCTCCAGCAGAGCATCTGGTGGATTTGAACCGCCTACCTCTGGGATTGCAGTGCAGCGTCTTCCCACTAGGCCACCAGAGCTCCCTGAAAATACAATATCTTAACACATCAAAGATCAAGGTGAGCTTACAGCAATAAACACATCAAAAGGAAAGAAAAAGCAAAAATCGACTCTTCAACTCAGTACCTCAAAAAAATTAGAATAGGAAGGTCTTGGGGCGCCGGATCTCTGATGTGTGCTCTAAGGGTTAGCTCTGAACCCGAGTAGGCATAAAGCTTAAACAAGCTGAAGGAGATGTTAAGGGAGATAAAGCCAAGGTGAAGGACGAGCCACAGAGGAGATCTGCAAGGTTATCTGCTAAACCTGCTACTCCGAAGGCAGAGCCTAAGCCTAAAAAGGCCCCTGCAAAGGTGAGTGGAAGGGAGAGAAAGTACCCAAAGGGAAAAAGGGGAAGGCTGATGCTGGCAAGGATGGAAATAACCCTGCAGAAAACGGAGACGCCAAAACAGACCAGGCACAGAAAGCTGAAGGTGCTGGAGATGCCAAGTGAAGTGTGTGCATTTTTGATAACTGTGTACAGTTTGAAATACTATTTTTTATCAAGTTTTATAAAAATGCAGAATTTTGTTTTACTTTTTTTTAAGCTATGTTGTTAGCACACAGAACACTTCATTGTTTTTTGGGGAAGGGGCAAATGTCACTAATAGTATGTCTCTGAAGCTGGATTGACGTGAATGAAAACACCTTCTAGCTTTTGAGAGCCTTCCTCTTGGTTGTCAGGAGGAGACATTCTCTGGTGTTGAGACACATTAGCCAACTTGGCACAAATGCCTTGCGGTGTGGAAAAACAAAAATCTGTTTTTTATGTCCTCTTCTCCCTCTGCCTTCAGCATAGACTCGACTTCCATAAATCCAGAGACCTTTTGGACCTGATCCCCCCGAGAAATTGATTACCATTTTGTCAGGCAATCTGCACTTTTCCAGTGACATCTGAGCAGCATTCCTCAAAAGAGCACTGTTTATTTTTTTTTCCTTTTAAAGATTGTGGGTCTTAAGATTGGTAATTCTGCCATTTTTTTTTTTTCATTTTTCTGAAAGTCAGGGTCAGCTTGTGAAAAGTTGTTGAACAACATGCTAAATGTGAAATGTCAACCCTCACTCTAAACTTTCCCTGTTCAGAGCATCAAATGAAGATTTCATTGGGTTTTATAGTGGTTTTCTGATTTTGGTAGTCCATTGAAGAAGGGAGTTTGAAAGTTGTTGTATACTGTTAAAGATTGTCTGCCCATGTCCTGCCTGAAATACCATGATTGTTTATGAAAAGTATCTTTAATAAAGCTGGATACAGTTTGGCTTGGAAAAAAAAATTAGAATAAGAAAAGCAAGCCAACATCACAACTTCTTAAAGAAAGGAAATTGTAAGAATAAGGGAAGACATAATTGGAATAGAGAACAGAAGGACAATTGAAACTATCAACAAGACCTGGAGATGATTCTTCCAAAGTGTCAATAAAATCTACAAACCATTGGAACATCTAACAAAAGGAAAGACAAAAAGAATTTAAATAGGAAATTAAATGGGTAACATCACAACAGAACCATGCATGGTTCTATTGTTCAAACTGGCTTTCACAGGCCATTACCCTTGAAATTGTGCTTTGAAGTCCCACGTGGCTAGATAAGAATATACAAATAGAATGTGTTGGCCTAGCTTTGCACAGTGGTGATATCGTAGCCAATGAGGTTTACCCTAGGCGCGATTATTGCTAATTGAAAACTTTTCCCAATACCCCGCAGTGACGACTTGAAATATAGTTGGCATTGGCAAAAAAAAAAGAATGTGTTGGCTTACCCACAAGGAGATTTGCTAATTTCAACCTTCCAGTATGTTTAAATTGAGTAGATTCAGTAGCAAAAATTTGGAGATATCACTGTTAAGTGCTGTTGAGTTGCCTGCGACTGGTAGAGACCCTCTGTACAGTAGCCCTAAACCCTGCTCTACCCTGTGCCAACCTCACTGTCTCTGACACACCCACCCTGATTATCCCAGTCACTGAATCAATACATCTCATAGAGGGTCTTCCTCTCCTGTGCCGTCCTTCCATCCTCCCAAGCATGACATCACAAGGACTGGTCCCTCCTTGCAACATGTCCAGAGTATGCCAGAGGAAGCTTCAGAATTGTTGCCTCCAAAGAGCAGCCTGGTTTAAGTCTCTCAAGGATGAACTTCTTAGTTTTCTTAGCAGTCCATGGTAGATTCAATATATGTGCTCTGCCCTCTACCAATCGCACTGTCTCCGACACACCCACCCTGA